CCCAAAAAAAAAAAAAAAAAGGATGGCTGTGTCAAACATGCTAGATTAATGACTCTCAGAAGCCTGAACCAAACCCCAAAGAAATCAACAGTTTTTCCATTTATTTGAATGGGCTTAGGATCTGGCCCTTGCCAAGTGAATTCTTCTGTCAGTCACATAACAGCAGTGCATGCTTCCTTACACCAACTTGCTCAGATGCTTTTACTCAAATCTGGAGAGGCAATCACAATAAAGAGTGAGAGAGAGAAACCCTACTGCTTTCTATAACCACTTGGTTCTTGGCTTCTCTGCTATGACTGGCTGCTAATTAGTCCCGACCACTATCAAATGTGGTATTTTTCACTTGTATGAAGTGAATTAGTGGTTGTAGTTCCTAATTGACAGATCACCACCAATCAGCCCTTAGACAGAAATAAGTTTCAAACGCTACTGATCAGGGCTGTACTGAATAAATCAGTGTCATTAAATGCTGACAAATCTATTACACAGTTGTCAAGAGGTCAAAGTTGAAAGCCTGACTAAGCATAGCAGCCCATTAAGCTAGCGCGATTAGGGTCCGCCAGAATCTGTAGCCATTTCACAGCTGGGTCAACTGGCATCTGATTCAGGTCCTACACAATTCCCTGGTTCAAGACTGGAATGCTGTTACCCTCCCCAGCCACGACCAAATTAAAGCTTTAAGTTTGCAGCCCTGTTTTATACATCTGCGCTGATATTTCTGATGCCCTGAAGATCTTTACAATAACAAGTGATGTAAATTATAGTTCAGGCACACAGAAAACTACAAAATGCATACAAAAACTTATTCCAGTCTTAATATTAAAAAAAAGTTTCAATGAATAGAAAGAGACAGAATTAGAGAACTGAGGGTACAATTACTCTAGGGAAAAAATAACCATTTGAGAATGAGAAAAGAGAAACTATGAAATGTGAGTAACATAACATGATAAGGGCTAGACACCAGGCAACATCAAGTATCTGACTGTCTAACACCAGTTGCTATTTTGATTTAAAATGATTCCTCTCCTCTCTAAGAAGAGATGTTTTTAGGCTGGCAATAATCAATGTACAATCAGATCAAAACCAGAAAATAAGCACAGGAGCTGGAAATCTTATTAGCAAAGACACATTCATATTTCCCAGATGGTAAAAGTGATTATTCATTTCTAAGAGGAAGTGGTGAGAAAACCACCTTTCTAAATAGTCTTTATGAAAAGATGCGGTTTCTGCATTTGAGCTGGTTAAAGTCAGATTCCATCATCAATGTTGTCACCGAAAATGACATTTTACTCTTGATTTTCAGTTTCAAAAGCACTTCCCCTGCTGCACAGCTAACCTTTCCATGTGTTGTTGTGGAGCAACACTGACCTCCAGTGGCTACATAAGCTGGTTGTATATTGATGCTCACTATAACTACCTCATGGCCAACCTAGCAGGTATACCATAATGAAGCTGCCTTCACTACCGCTATCTCTAAGTAGTCTGTATTTGCTTAGACCAGTAGCATGAGACTTTCCCAGCAATTTACACTTACACAACATTATCTTTAAATTAGTGTCGCCCTCTTTTCTGCCCTTCTAACAATAACCATGCATCTCCAATATCCTGAATACAAATTCCAGTGTTACAGAAAGTTTATATTTTTTCACGTTGTTACATGAAGTCAAACTTCTTGTGAAAATTGCCTCTTTCTTAGCACAGTGAATCCTCACATAGGCCCAAAGGTTTTGTACTATTGTCATACAGAATCAGTTGCAGTATCATCGTCTATGAAGACCAAACATTCCCCAACCTTAGTGGCGACTACAACCAATAAAGCTGTAAAGTCAGATTTTTAATGGAGGAATTAAAGGCGAGGCATTTGGATCAAACCCCAGTTTCTCCTGGGTATTGCCAAGTTGGACAGTGCTGGGGCTGGGGAGAGAGTCAGGACTGCACTGTGCAACTCCTCCACTTCTTCTCCTTGGAGAAAAAGAAAGAGAAATGCTAGGAGCTCCTTGCCTTGAGGGACTGTCTGAATTCCCAGCCAAAATATTCAGCTTTGCTGAGGGCTGAACTTTCCCATTAGGATAAAACGGTAACTCTTATTATGTTAGGTCCAGTTTATTATTATTGGAAAAAGTGAAAGATACAAAAAACTGAGTATCAACATATTTAGGACCTGATCTTGTAGCCCTTAGTGTGGGACCAGCCCCAAAGGAATAAGTGAGACTAGTCATGTTACTGTGTATTTAGTTAGATGGATCTTATTCTCTTCAGTAGTCAGCTCTTCAGGGACTAGCCACAGTTTCATTCTTATATCAAGACACCACCACTTACCTCACTGTGAGGGCTACTGGAATAAAAGCAGATGGTTAGGTACATCTAACCCTTTATACCAGGTTCTGCTCTACACTGAAGGTCTTTAACATACTAGACTTTTTAATATATATTTGGTTATCTATGTTTTGAAAGGATATAATTCTTTATTCCAAAAGTATTTTTTTCCTTTTAAAAAAAATAAGACAGCTTAAAAAGATCAACCCAATGAACTTAGCCAATGTAATGCAACATTTGTAAAAATGCTGCACAAAATTAGTTTCAATATCATTTTAACAGTAGATACATGATTTGGAACCACTGGCCATGTGCAGATGTTCCCAGACCCAATCTCTAATCACACAGAGTGAGTGTAGATTGGGTCCCAACTGGGCAGACATTCGCCAGTGCGGAGAACCCAATCTAGAGTAAGTCAGGGTGAGAGGAGTGGGTGGGCAGGATCAGGGGGGCTGGCAGGTCCACAGATGGGTTCTGGCAGGTCTGTGGGAGCTGGTGGGTCCACAAAGGGGAGGGAGAGGTTGGAAGAATCAGGGGAACAAGCAGGTCAGGGGGTTGAGGGGGCAATTGTCAGAGGGCTAAATAAGAGCCCTGTCAGGGTGAGGGGTAGGAAAAGCACAGCCCTGGGGATCAGGCTAGGGCTGCGGTGAGCAGCTCTGCTTTCCCAGCCCCAGTGCTGTGCTCCAAACATGTGCACACATTATGGGTTTGATGGGGCATGGGCTATCCCAATCTATGTAGTTCATTTCCTGGGTAAATGAAAGATCAAGCCACACTTTTTTTTTGCCCAATCTAACCTTCCCAAATGTACATACAGATTGGCACTTAGAGTGACCTAACTAGGGTTAGGTTGACCTAAGTGTAAGGTCTTGCACATATTCCCTGATTTAAAAGTAATGCTGCCTGACTGCCTTCCACTAGTGGGCATGGTTTAGAATTAGACAGAAATCAGACAATAAAGAACTAGATGTAATCTTTAGCAAATCACAATACAGCACATAAAAAGAAAAAACAATATGGCAAAGTCCTCTCATGCAAAGAAATAAGATCCTGTATTCAGATTGTACGTCAGCCAAAAGGAGCTTCTGAGAAAATAAGACGTCATTTCTAAACCACATCTTTGGTCTTCATTTAAATTTCATATTAAAAAAATAACTAAAAATGAGGTCTACTAGATTGTTTTGTTTTGAAGAGACAACACAGGTCTTATTTTCCTTACACAAAGTATGCACTTACTGTACACAGATATAAGCAGATATAAAATGACATTACAAAAGATACCTATATATTGTAAACAACATTAAAAAACTACAGTCAAAATTTACAGCAAAAATACCTTCAGATAAATATATGGAAACAGTTCAGTGTAAGTTCATAAAAAAGGTAGAAGGGAAATTTGGGGGCAAAGAGTGATTGTGCTGGGAAGTCGTTTTGGAAAATGTTTTGAGAAAATCATAAAATCATAGAAAATTAGGGTGGGGAGGGACCTTGGGAGGTCAACTAGTCCAACCCCCTGCTCAAAGCAGGACCATCCCCAAATAAGTCATCCCAGCCAAAGCTTTGTCTAGCCAGGTTTTGAAAACCTCCAAGGATGGAGCTTCCACCACCACCTCTCTGGGTAACCTGTTTTGGTGTTTTACTGCCGTCCTAGTGAGAAAATTCTTCCCAATATCTAACCTCAACTTCCCTTGCTGCAACTTGAGACCATTGCTCCTTGTTCTGTCTTCTGTCACCACTGAGAACAGTCTAAGCTGCGTCTCTCATCTTTGGAACCCCCCTCCAAGTAGTTGAAGGCTGTTATGAAACCCCCTCTCAGTCTTCTCTTGTCCACATTAATTAAGCCCAGTTCCCTCAGCCTCTCCTCAGAAGTCATGTGCCCCAGCCCCCAAACCATTTTTGCTGCCCCCCATGGTCCTCTCTCCAGTTTGTCTACATCTTTTCTGTAGCAGGGGGCCCAAATCTGGACACAGTACAGCACTGGTGAGGCCACATCTGGAGAACAGAGGGGAAGAGTCGCTTCCCTCAATCTTCTGGAAACTCTCCTATTAATGCAGCCCAGTATGCTGCTAGCCTTCTTGGCATCAAGGGCATACTATTGGCTCATATTCAGCTTATTGTCCACTGTAACCCTCAGGTCCTCTTCTGTAGAGCTGCTGCCCAGCCAGTCAGCCCCCAGTCTGTATCGGTCCTGCATAGAATTGTTCCATCTTAAGCACAGGACTTTGCACTTGTCCTTATTGAACATCATGAGACTTCCTTTGGTCCAGTCCTCCAATTTGTCAAGCTCTCTCTGAATTCTAGCTCTACCCTCCAGTGTACCTACAACTCCACCCAGCTTGGTGTCAGCTACAAACTTGCTGAAGGTGCACTCCATCCTCATCTTCCAGGTCGCTGATGAAAATATTGAACAGAACTGGCCCCAGGACGGATCCCTGGGGTACCACCAACTAGACTTTGAGCTTAGAACTGATTACTACCCTTTGGGATAGACAAGAAATGGTGTGATATAGTTATTGTGAGGTGAAGGGTGGAGAGGGAAGTAATAGGCAAGCATGAAAACAGGTCACAGAAAAGACAAAAATTACCTGGTGACCTAAAGCTAAAAATCACTGAGCCCTTAAAAGAAAAGTAAGTAGAAATAGCAAACAAACTAATATAGCAAGAAGCCTAAGGTGCAAACAGGTCCTACACAGATAAGTGTTTAAAAAAAACCCCACCACTTATAAAACCCCAGTTTAAACCAAATAAATTCATTTAAACCAGTGTAATACTTGAATAGTCCTCAACAATACATTATGCATTTCTATGCTGCCACTTTTCTGCCAAATATTTGGTATAATTCATACAGAAGAAAAACAAGTTTCACTAACAGCTAGGAAAACTGATATCTACATTGCAGATGGACAATGAGACTAAGCTATTCAGGCCAGAACTACAATTAGTTTGCCAGCATACATCAGCAATCCTAAGGGGAAAAAAAAACCCAACCCCCCCCCCCCAAATTTTCTAAGATACCTCTGTTGGAAAAGTGGGCTTTGTTTGACTGAATTCCTTTGCATATGCTCAGAGGTGTTCTTTTCTAAAGTGCCCAAGGATTTTGGTGTGCAAAGACATATCACCAGGGAGTATGAACAGAGTATTAGTTTTAGCTTTTCTCAAAGAGAAACTACAATGAATTCTGCACAGAAGGAATTTTTTCCTTTGTGGTATGAATATAAACGCTCCATGATGCTCTCTTCTTACACCTTGCAGAAGGCCTGCTAATCTAGACCAGGAGATGGCAACGTATGGCCTGCAGAGCCACTGGATTCAACCTGAGGATATGAAGCTTTGATGGTATTCGGTAGCATGGAGCTTCAACAGCTGTGGGCACTCTCCCTATTCCGTCACAAGGAGAAGCAGTGGCTGCCAGCTGGTCCTAGCACTTGCCCAACTGCCTACTTCTGACCCAAATTGGGTCACTCCAGCTTGCAGTCAGACAAGGTTGCAACCACTGATCTAGACCTATGGACCACTGATACCACAGTGCCTTCTGCGGAGCAGCAAACCTAGAATAGCCACTTCAGAAAAAGTGAATATTAATTACAGATTTCAACTTGATTTTACCTCCCCTCTGCCCCCTCCCACATCCCATTTACTTGCATACATGAAGACACTTAAAAGGAAATATTTAAAACTCAAGACCCCTCTCATCAAGTCAATACTTTATATGACCAGCAGACTTCACACTGAGCAACCAACATCAATCATTGTCCATTATGACAGAATAAACAGCATTACCACCTGACCTATAGCTGCTCAATAGAAATATCATCTGTCTGGTCACTTAAGAGTCCAAGCCAGTTATAGATGCAATGTAGTCATTAAAAACTGTTAAACACTTTCTCTCTCTTAAAGCAGAAGCTTGAAAGGAATTTTAAAGAACAGTTTAAAAATAAAAGCGTTAAGTTTACCGAGGGCCATTTTGTGAACTTGTAAGATCATCTTTATGCAGTTATGTCAGCATGTGGAAGAATTCTAGACAGAGCAAGTCAAAGGATCACAATGCATTAGTGCTCCACACACTTCAACTGCGTGCCTATTTAATTCCATTGCTAAGAGGTGCTTCAGCAGGGCTTTTTGGCACTTGTATCTAATAACTGAGTCAATCAACTATTAGATAAAAGTGCAAAAAAGCCCCACTCAGTGGGAGCGTGCCAAGTTTGAAGTAAAGTGGCATGTTTTGGTGCTTTTTGTATCTTTCCACATATGCATTTGACAAAGTAATAAAACTAGTTTTCAGTTTCATCTCTGAGCAAAGAAAACAGCTTACCCAGAACGTCTCTTTCCTCCTCTGGAAGGCATGGATCCTGCCATTCTCACCTGTCCTGCTGCCATAGGGGCGACTGGCAATGTCACCGATCCAGGAATATCTGAAGCCATTTCTGCAATGTAGAAAAATCATGTGGTCCAATGTGAAAGGAGCAAGTTTAAATAATGAAGCATAGAAAAGCCATTTCCAGAGTTATCAGTGCAGGGAAAAATGTCATTTCTAAATGAAAATATAGTTTAATGATTGTACAAATGCTGGCAAAGTCTCAACAGCCTTGAAAGAACCTCTATTTTTGTCAATAGCCACCTGATATGCACTTGGAAAGAGACTAAACAGTCTGTGGGAACCTCCCTATTTTATTCATCTATTGCAGGGTTATCAAACTCACCTGGGGCCCCAGGTTGGATCTGGACTGCAGGACTCCTCACAGACCAGACCCAGCGCAGGGCACATGGGCAGGCACTGCAGCCACCATAGCAGCAGCAGGTCCAGCATCTGCAAGTGGTTTGGCCGTGGCAGCAGTAAGGGCAAGGGCACAGCCATCGGCCAAATGGCCCTGTATTTCACAGCATGCCATATCCCCTACCAATTTACCAGGGCTAGGTGGACTGGCTATACAGGCCAGATCCAGCTTACAAGCCGTGGACACCTATACATGAGTGGCAGAGTAACTACAGCACACTGGAGCAAACTTAATTAGTTGAGTTTCGTGGACCATGGTAATTATCACACTCCAGCAGACTCTAGTATATCAGCATCTCCACGCTGAAAAACGGCAGCCAAAGTGCTTTAACTGAAGTTTGTGATAAGCTTTAGTCAAAGCACCCCCGCCGTCATTTTTCAGCACAACGATGCATGAGACGCTCTGGGCGCTTTAATTAGAGCGGCTCTCGGAGCTGCTTTAATTAAAGTGTGTCCCACTACCGCCACCACTCCTGGAGCACATATATAAATACCCCATGTGTTTCAAACCTCTGATCTATTGCATCACCATACTTTTATTCCCCACTTTACAGGAGCTGTCAATGAAGAGTAGTCTTCAATCATTATGTTTTCCTAGAGGGATTTTTGTCAGCGTGGAAATATCGAGGTGAAATAAGCGATGGTGCCTAATGTACTCAGAGGAAGCAAAACAGAACTAAAGCATCCACGCCAGAAGACAGGCGGGTGATCCAGTCTGACTTGGACAGGCTCAGCAAATGGGCGGACGAGAACCTGATGGTGTTTAACACTGAAAAATGCAAGGTTCTCCACCTTGGGAAGAAAAACCTGCAGCATCCTTATAGACTCAGCAGTGCTACGCTGGCTAGCGCTACGGATGAAAGGGACTTGGGGGGTCATCATTGACCACAAGATGAACATGAGCC